ATGAACCTTGGAGAAAACATCCTCATACCGACGCTACAAACCGATAACAACAGAGATGGTGCTACCAGGCTCTAAAGCAGAAATGTTTTCACGCCCCCTTACCCCTCCTCCGACCTGCACCCTTGCGAATTAAAATATTGTTGATAACCTGATAATATGCATATTCTTATCTGTACAAATCACAGTGTGAGTTGCTGCCACCTAGTGACTGGAAGCTTGTTATCATTCAAGCATTACAGCAGCAGTGGTCCACATATGTCCAATGTGCCATATTCCATTGGAAGCACCTCAATGCCTCCTCCCTCCCCCCCGGGGGGGCCCTGCCCCACTATTTGAGAAGTACTGCTCTAATGCAAGAGCTCTGGGTCTGTGGCTCCAGTACATAAAAAATCCTGTTTTACTCTGATGCTATAAACTTGCGTCAGTCCCAATTAGAAACATAACACAAGTTGCAGTGACTCCCGAGACTTGGGTATCTTCATGTGGTTGTTATTTTTAAAAAAATCTTTTCAAATTCTTTTTATTTCAAAGTTTGTAATGTTGGATAAATAAGAAAGCAGGTGAGGAAAGGGTTGCTACCCAAGCACTAAGGTTTGTTCAATGGCTCGGGTGCATCTTTCAACTCAAGCTCATTCCTCACTGAGCTTTCCTGTAAGAAAGTGTGTCTATTTTCTTTGTCTTCCCAAGATCTGTAATTCTGGCTTGGCTCTCTTGCTCCCTCTCTTTCACTATCAATGTTTACTGATGCCATCCATCAGTGACAGAAAGAAATCTCCAGCAAGATCCACACTCAGTGTTGCCGTCTGCCTCGGCAAAGAGAGAAAAGGAAAAGGTTGTGGAGACAGCATGGGGGGAAGGAAGGGGAGGAGGAAGAAAGAGATATCAGGAGTACACATACAACACTATAATGTGCAAGTCAACGAAAAGGGAAAATTATGAGTAGATCAGATAGTTATTGAGCATTTTTTCACTTATATGAACTCTGTGTGTACAATTATTGCTCTTTTTGTTTGGTGTTTAAAGTTGGAAAAAAGAAGTCCCTTATTTGTCCCACAATAGGTGATTCACATTTAAGTCTTTGCAACCCACACAGGAGGCACCATTAGTATGTGACCCAGGGCCGGTTGCATGTAAGTCAGATGTGTAAGGCAGGCATATTAATCACTACACTACGGAACCACACAACTGCTACACCCTATTCAAGCATCATCTCTAAATTACCAATGGAATGAGCTGCTTTAACCCTCCTGGCCGCGGGTTTGCATTTTGTCCCAGAATCATTTTTCATTTTGGGTCACCTACACCCAAAAGGACAACACAAGGGTTAGGATCAAACTCAGACCTTTTCCACCCATCACGTGTTGGAAGTACCAGAAGTAGATTAACGTTAACAGGATTGACGTTAACAGGTTCTCATATTCATGTTCAACAGAAGAAAACAAAAGAGGGAAAAGGAATTTACTACCCAACAAATATGTCACATTTTCAAGATAGTTTGGAAACAAACTGTGATGTTTAAGCTCAAATCGGGCCGCACGTTTCTCCCAGGATGTCAGGAGTGGCGTTGTCCTCCTGTTCTCAAAAAGCAGCCATTTTCTTTAAAGGGATAATCAGAGATTTGTATTTCCTACCTTTCTTAAGTTCCTAAGCTGTGCGTGGAGTTGTGCTGCATTTACATCCTATCCCCGTGCTTCCATGAAAGGAAGCGAGAATAAATAGTCAATCGGTTACAATGAATCATAGGTTGTGCTGTATGTAAACATAATCTATTTGTGTGTCCCTTACAGAATGTGCCTATATTTTGCACTTTTGAGTCAC